AAGTGAAAAACCAGGACCCAGCCTTGTCAATTAATTAATATTTAAACATAGCTGCTTTGGACAATCACTAATTCATAAAAGTTCTTCAAAGTTTATTGCTCCAAAGCATACAATTAACATGTCTTAATGGGACCCATAAGAAAACAAAAAATTAAAAAGTATTGCTTCTATTTCACACTTATACTACTGTATCCTTTTCAATTTTCAAATGTTTCAAATGCTGCAGTTCAGAAAATCTGGAACAAGAAGTTCTCTACCTTTCCCAAAATGGCACTGGCTCAAAAGAGTGTCTGTTATCAGGAGGTCCAATATTCCATTTTAGCCAAAAAAACAGTTTACATGACTCCCAGTTTCTCCAACTAATGAAGATGAAAGTTTTGTGTTGAATTGAAACTGAAAGCACATGAAATTACTGATTTTTCCCTTATGCCTCAAAGGCATTTCAAAACACAAGTTGAAATGAAAAGTAGGGTTCTGTCCTGAAGGAAATTGCTCAGGTCACCACATGTGAGATAGTGACAGTATAGTAATTCACAATCTGAGGAACTGTATTCACAAATTATTTTCATAAAGACAGTATTTGTCTGCACAAGTGGCTTTCAGCTGTAACTATGATCTTAAACACCCAACAATAAACCAGCTGCTTCCTTGACAATGGAAAATACTATTATGTATATAATACTATACAATACTATTGAATTGATTTACTATAACTCATTGCCAGCAGGACACAAATAAATGGATCCATAAGTTTTTGGATTAAATTACTACAATTCAGAGCTATATTATATTATATTATATTATATTATAGTGAGTCTGAAAAAATATTACTAAAGGTACAGTGGGGTAGATTTTGTCCCGTAAAACAAACATTAGGTACTGTATATATTTGAAGAAATACAGCATATATCTCTGTTTAAACATATATACAAAATACCTTTTATAAGCTGATGAACAATGCCAAAGTTAATGATAAGTCTGCTTGTTTATTTCACTGAGAATATGCTGTAGGGTGGAAGCAACCGCACACTCTCTGTATCGGTATTACCATTCAAATTAATGGAAAATGGTAAGCTTAGCATGGAAATTGTTGCCATGCTAAGGTAATCTTTGATGTAGACATTAAATATCTAAAGTCTGACTCTAAAAAGTAGAGTCACTTTTACTGAAATATTTTACACAGACTATGAAGAAGGAAGTACAGCTTACAAGCAGTGAACTTAGGAGAAATGGATACAGAGCCAGGGGAATGATGTTTATATATCAAGAACAATGTTAATCTCTAAAAGCAAATTAATTCGTAAAAATTCAAAGAAAATATCACAGACATGGCTTAATGGAAAAAAATAAAAAATAAATCATACGGAAAGAAGTGTTCTATAGTCTGAATAAAAAAGGTTCCAAGATTCAAAAAAGAAAAAAAGAGGAGAGATTGTAGAAAATACTACTGTCTACTATCTAATACTATCCATCTTCAGTTCCACTGAAAATAGTAGAACTGTTATGAGAGGGGAAAAAAAGAACACTGTAGCAGGTACTAAAAATACAAAAGATTTTTCTGTCATATAGCAATCACAGAAAAGTAAATTATGATATAGTCTGCAAGAAAATATTTGTTTAATACTAGAAAAAAGAAATAGTAAATTTACTAAATGAATATTTCATGCCGATTTTCATGATGGTACACCTTGATAACATGCTTCTAGTTATAGACATAGTTCAATCAGTATTGAGTAATCTTAGCATAACAGACATTGAGATATTACATGGACTAGGACAACTTACAACTTATAAGATACCATGGCCTTGCAGTATTTTCCAAAGGCTTACCTACAGTAAGTACTTGAGGGATGTTATTCATAGAGGTTTAATCAAGATACTTAAACTTCAGCAAGGATAGAAGTTAAACACTACCAACAGACTGGGGAATTGCAAATGTAGTTATCAATTCATAAAAAGGAAGACAAAAGTGAACCAGAAAACAATAGATCGTTTAGTATTACATAGCAAGGATAGGCATAAAAATGTACTGAACAATAATTTCTTAAAAGACAACATGGTAACATGGTTTTAGAAAAGAAAGGTCATCCAATTATGTAAAAAACTAAACTGTATACTGCGATTTGGGTCAACACAAGGTCTACTTCAGATTGAGTAGCAAAACAAGGACACAATGTTGCAATTACATACCAAAAGGACATTTATTTAAGATGGAAAATAGGCAAGGTAGCATGGTTATCATTGCTGCTTTGCAGCTTGTGGGGCCCAGGTTTCAATTCTAGACCTGTGGTTCTATCTGAGTGGTCTCCCATGTTTGTATGGGTTTTCGCCAGGTCCCCTGGGTTCCTCTCACAGTAGGTTAATTGGCTTCTAAAAACTAGCCCTTTTGTGAGTGTAGGCATATCTGTGTTTGAGTCTGCCCTGAGATGGGCTGGTGTCCCGATCAGGGTGAATCCTGCCCTGCTCTTTGTTGCTTGGAGGGATATGCTTGGGATCCCATGTGACTGTGAATTGGATTAAGTTGTTAGAAAATGGATGGAAAACAAGCAATACTTCTTTACATAAAGAATTGTGGGAATTAATTAATTTGAGGCCCAACCAAGGAGCAGATTAAATTTTACGTTCTCTCAACAAATACAATTCCAAAAATGCAAAATGGGCAGAAAGGCCTCCTCTTTTTTGTAAACTTTCTAATGTTTTCAATTTTTAGGTCTAATTTAGGACAGTGAACCTCAAGTAATAAACTAATTTTCATAAAAACCAAAAATATGCATAAATGTTTATTCATAAGGCAGAGGTTCCATAGAATGATACTCGATCCAAATGCTAGCAGATTTACCATGACAAAGCAGACATTTTTAAACAAGGATATGCCAAGGACATGCATTAATTCTTAGTTTTGGTATTAATCATCAAATCATCCCTTCTGAAGTCATATTGTTTTAATAAACCATTTTAACAGATAATTTCATGTAGCAGTTTCTTACCTACAGTAGCTCTATCTCAGTGATATTCAGCATGTGATTTTCAAATTCTTATAATGAACCAAGGTTCTTTTACAGAAAAATTAATCATTCAAATCATAAAAGTGATATCCAATTAAAGTAAATCTGAGTGTAAAAATAATATTTATTCTGAGCAGTGGAAGAAGACAGTTGAGATTTTTCTTTAGACTACATTGAACCAGCAAGAAAATTGAATGTCATTCTGTATGATTTTATTACCTTAAACAAACATCTTCAGAACGAATGCAAAATGCAGGAACACTATCTGGAGAAATTATGCCCTGAAATTAAGTTAGCCAATTTAAGAGTTAATGCATGAATCATCTGTTGATTTAAACGATAGTTCCACACTCCTAGTGTTTCACGGTTTTGATCAAACCTGCTAAAGGATTGCTGAGATAGTATCTGGTTCATTCGCCACCAGCTGCTAAAGAAATTCAGTTAGCCAGACTGAGGGGGAGAATGAAAGTACAATGGGGAAAATAAGTAATGGTATTTGGGTGTCTAGTTATTCCTCTGAGATCACAAAGCAAATTTAGTAACAGCTGTCACTTTTTGACAAAATCAACAATAAATCTCTAAATCTCTTGGAAAATCATACCAAATGACCTTGGCAGAGATAAACTGAAGGTGTGCATGAGGTATCTTTCAGAAGTATGAAAGCATCAAATTTGTTTAAGATGATAAACTGTGGCTCAAATGCTTCTGAAATTAACCTTTACAGTCTATTCTATTCCAAGGTTTAACCGCTGGGTGGCCCATGCTCCTTAAAAACTGAACAGATTTACTTTATGAGACAATAGCAGACACGATGGATAAAGGTGCAATAATTAAGCATTTTAACAAATTGTAACAAAAACTAGAGAACCCAGCTTGTCCTTTCCCCACATTGTCTTAATGAGAATGTACATAAACACACAAATCCCTTTCATGCATACTTTTTTACAACTCAATATCACTCAAGAATGAGGGAGTTTTCTTATCAGATCTTAATGGATCATTTTACACTTACAATTGTCACCTTTAATTGGCCAAGTGTCTGCCCAATCCACAATTTTCTATTAATCATTTTGTAACTATTATGTTGTTGTTTCTGTTTTGCCACTATCATTTGCAAATTTAACTACTTTGCTAACCGTACTAGAATTTAAATTAGTGGTCTAGTCCTAGCTGTGGAAGCCCAGTAAGAATACAGGTTTTCAGTTCACCTGGATCTTAACCTGATTCATTTCTAAAATTGGATTAAGTGGACCACTTTAACAGATTACCCAGGGTCTTCAGATCATGCTTTAAAAGAAAACAGACAAAAACGGCAGAGACAACAACCTCTGGGACATGGACTGGGGAACACTGATCTAAATCATCCACTGTTTTTAGATCAGAAAGAGAAATGGTTCTAAAACAGATCCCTGCAGTACACCACTGCTTACATCTGCTACACATGAGCATTTTATAAGTGTGAAGAATTATTTCTTATGGTAAATGCTTTTCAAGAATAATGTAATGAAATGCAGCTATGCCAAGCACCCTGGACCTTTTTTATTATGGCTCATCTTCCTGAGAATTTTATGGCATCAAAGACTTGGCCTGGAGTTTTCTACTTTGGCTATCTGCTTTAAGTTTATAAGTTTTATAAGAAATTTCTAGCATACTGTATTAATAAACTCTGGAAGTACTGTTTAACAAATGAACAAAAATCCCTGGAAACCAGATGGAAGTGATAATAAATCTGAAAAAGGCAGATATTTTAAATGATATTTTATGTGTTCAATTCATATAATATACTGCAGCTAGTAACAATACACATGACTTTACATGGACAAACAAATAAGTATCATCAATACTTAGAAAGTGGGAAATCCATTAGGTATGTAGGGCAATGTCTTACACACCTAATGCATTTCAAACATTTGTGACATTTTCATGCACAAATCATGCCAATTATTCCCACATTTGTTAAAACATTCCTCGTGACAAACCCAGAAGGTCACATACCCGTGGTCCTTGGTTGCCTTGATCCCCCTGTAAGGAGCAAGAAATTAATTTTAAAATCTGGATTCAGTCTGAAACAAATAAAGACTGTTACAGCACAATTCAATTTAAAACATGTTGATGAAATAATACAGCAAACTACAAAAATGCAGTGTGGGTATCGGTAAAAATGACTTGTGATAACATGAAACCTTAAAGGCATTCAGGGAAGAATTTGATGGAAACTTATGGGCCCTCAGGTTTGAGGCCTACAGTGTTGATTCTTTCTAGCTGTATTCATTCATGAATTATTCAAGAATTACAGCTGTTCTACCTCCAAAGAGGAAGAGGAGAAGGTATCAAGTTGGAACAATAATTCAGTTTCTTTTGACCTGGATTGAAGCAACAAGCAGAAAACAAAAATCTCAGCAGTGATTCATTTATATTTTTTGGCAGCTTCATAGATGGCTGTGAAGGCTTTAAGCAGTTACAGTGTGGTTTTGCTCTAACTGGGGCTCATCAGTGCAGTACACATCAGTGCAGTGCAGTCTTTTGAACTGGAAACTCCAGTAACTGTTAAGAACAAGGACACCCAAAAGAATGCAACTAAATATCCCACAAAACTGATTAGGTTTTTAAAGATTTTGCTCCACCAAAGTAGCAAAAAATACCCTTGAATAGTACAAAATATTTAGATAAGTTAATCATGAACTCAAAAAGTCAATAAATGGAATGATTATTAAGGCAAATTGTTTAAGAAAGCTGAAATCACCATTTAGGCAGTAACCAAGCTGACACATCGTAAAGATGATATTTTTACTCCTAGGGTTTTGGCTTGCATATAGTAAAAGTTACAAATGATATTATTTAATGATGACTAATTCAATGGATCAACAACAAAAATATTTTACATAAATCATTAAAAGTTTTAGCTAAAATAAGAATTTCAAGAGAACCTATGAAAAGTCATTGTGCTGCAATGATAAAAGTAAAAATGTGAAAATAATAAGTATAAGCACAAGATATATAACAGAATAGTTATGTTAAACTCACCCTGCTGGTTTTTGTAAATATTTTCTTACATCTATATTTTAAACAGCAGCTACAATTTAAACTTTCAATAAATCAATACAAATAAAATAATAGCTGACATTGTAAGAACCGCAAACCTTGCTTGTGCCCGGATTGAGTCAAAACTTCAACCCATGTGCCAGCTGCAAATTGTATACTTAGTACTTGATGGAAAGTTTCCAGTGGGTAGGAGCATGAAGCTCGTGGCAAATAAAATTCTCCCATCATGTGAAAGGCAATGCCAGAGGAAGGGGGACTAAGGTGGGCTTGAATGAAATATGGAGCCATTTTGGGACAGAGGGACCATTTTTGTGTTTCTATTTTCTTGGGGGGAGGGGGGTCTCTTTTGCTCCTATGCACTGATGGATGGTTTTTAAATTGGGCTGGCAATTATTTTAAATTGGAGAGATTTAAGGCCACCCAACCATTTTGTCTGATCTGCCATGTCAAATATACTGTATCTTAAGTTTTTAATAGGTGGAAGGTTAAAGTTTTCATCTTTTCCCAGTTTAGGTGTTTCCTTTTCAAGAGACGCAAGATCACGTAGAGAATTCCTGTATCTCATATATTTTAATTCTAGAGCTCAGGAAACCAAGATAAACAAACCAAAAAACATTTCATAAAAAATGAAAAATGTTGCATTTTCTATGAATTCTACAAATGTGCTCTGTTTACTTAAAGGGGCAGGAAAACATTCTAAACCAAATATTGGCAATAAAGTTGTTGTTTTTTTAAAAAGAAGAAATATAATTCTGAATGCAGAATTATTTCAAAACAGCAGAAGTAAAACAAAGAGAAAAACATTTAATGTTCACTAACCTTTTCACCTTTTGGACCAGGAGGACCCTTTTAGGAAAAACAGAGAAACAAAAAACAGTAACAAAAAAGCATAAGAATAGATGGGGAGGAAATACTGTAATTTCAATTACAGTATGACACAATAGCAATGGAGCACATTCATTCACAAATGAAGAATAAAAACAATAAGGCTTTCCCCAAACATTGGGATGTAAATTTTCTGGAAAGGATGCATTTTACCAAAACAATCCAATTAGAAAAGAATGTCAATAAAGAAACTTTCTGAGGGGATCTGATGTTATGCAAATTAACCACCTTATGAAAACAAGAAATTCTAGGCTCCTTAGAATATAACTCAGTGATATATCTGTGGAGAACCTACTGCGGACATTCAGAGACAGCACAATGTTAATGAACTAAAACCATAAATGAAATCATATAGTATTGTTATGTGCCACAGAAATACGAAAGGATATCTTTATGGATTACCATACAACCACTCTGATCATCACTAAGTTCAATGCAAAGGAACTAAGGAACCGATGCAAATGAGACCCAAAGTGCGTGATATGCATTAGATGGACACATAGAATAAACCTCTTTCTGAGTGGAAGGTACTGAATGAATTGGCAGACTTCTAAAAAATAGCCTGAATATAAAAAATGAAATCACAAGCCAAGAGCTGAATGACTCTTCTGTGAGATCAGAGGTTCGGCCATGATAACTCCTCCTAATAACAAAAGACACACTACTTTGAGCGAATGCCATATTTGGCACACTTCCAGCACTTCAAGCTTTCTTGTTGAACGAAATAAACTAACCCAGTAACTGAGATCTGAAGAGACAAAATTTAAAATTAGAAAAAGGATCTGTACTCTTACATTCAAGGAAATATTTTTGTGGTATCCACCAGGCTAGAGAAACACTTGTTTGTTGAATTTGGTATAGTGTGAAAGATTCCTTCTGATTCAGCAACAGTTTAGAGAACTGTTATGCCCTGAGCAAAACGTTTCTAATCTTTTTTTTAAAATTTGTGCCTCTTTCAAACTGGGACTTGAGGGAACTGGGTGGTACCCTATACTGTCAAGTATCATACAGTATCAAGGCCTACATACAGTCATGACACATGGTACATAACTGTAAATAAAAATATGTGTATTTCGTAAGTCTTGTAAATAGATGTATGTGTCTTCTAAGATGTCAATGTCACGATCGCTAACCCCTCCTCTTAAGGGCGCTCCAGCACCTGGTCCCTAATCCCGCTCCCCCTTAAAAGCCAGACGCGGACCTTACTCCTGGTTCCTCATTGATTTCCACATCATGAGAGCCCGGGGTCTTGCAGCGTCTGGCTCCGTTATGCTTTTAACTTTCTGTTCCTAGTTCCTGGTTCCCCTCGCCGGTTCCGACCTGGTTCCTGTTCCCCCCCCCCACCGGATGGATCGCCTGGTTATGGACTTCAGTCCTTGTTTCTGATTTCCCGTTTGGATTTCATACATGGATTGTTCGCCTGGATTCACTCCCCCTGGACACCTGCACTGCATGGACACGCCCCCGTCTCCAGACCCTTTTCCTGCATGACCATTGTTCCCCTTTTGTCTTCACTATTCTGGATTGTGTCATCCGCATAGGGCCCGGAAGGAACTGTTACGTGACAGTCAACTGTTTTTCTGATCTGAAACTAAGCTATGCAAGGAACAGAGGCCAAGAGAACTACACCTGACTTTTCGTGGTTACAGGGTGAAGTGCTGTTATCTTTTATTAAATGCTTTCTAGGTATGATGGTGTCAGGACCTGATTTCCAACTTTAATCTCAGTCTTATCAATTTTTATATCTCTTTTTTAGTTAATTGATCTGATGAGTGGACATGAGTGGACATTAAAAGAGAAACCTTTTGCCATATTTAACTTACCCTCAGACATATACCCATAATTCACCAGAAGATCCATAACCTCAGTTAGAGAATTACTAGGTTATTCAAAACATAAAGGACATTGTTTGCAAATAGCTCAATTCTGTATACTCATTGCATTAGAATTATATATATATAACAAAAATGGGTGATGGTGGACATTCTTGTAGCTTTAAACTTTTTTAAACAATATAAATCAATAGTAATTTTTGGTAAAACTAAATTTCTCAAGCATTTGATGGAAAACATTGACTCAAAGCTAGACTTTCCTTTGTTTTTCAAGTATCAATATGTATGAACATATTAAGTATATCTCTGATGGTCATGTGTATTGTATGTCTACTTTGACATGCATTGTTTTTTCATCCAAATTTATTAGAATGTATTTTCTTTTGTCTCTAAAAGAATGATTTATTTGTAAGTCTTATCGTGCACTTTAAAAATGGACATTGGTACTAAAGTCTGGATCTTTTCACACTTTCCGATAATGGAAATAATGGCCACCTTCCAGGAGGGTATCTTATAGAATTCAATTGGAAAGGCATCTGCTTCTAGACTTAAGTAAAAAGTAATGTCATATGTATTTTACTTTTTAGGCTGTGAATATAACTTTCTGTAATAATTCTGATGCACAGGATTTGTATTTTTTTTTTCAATTCATTTGCATGTCTTTTTTAATTCTGTTTCTTATTCTATATGTTTTAGATCATTTTTGTGCTCTTATCTTTGGTAATGTCTCATATGATTAGAGGCTGTTTTTCATGCTCTGGCTCTACAGTATGTGTTACTGTATATTTCAGAAAGCTGTGGATTTACACTGGTTTGACTTATTTAAGCTTTTTCTTATAGAAGCAAATAACAAATTTACCTCTTCCCTCTGAGTAAAAGTTTACCTGTCCCACAGTACTGCTGGACACACCTATCCTATATCACTTAGAAAATACAGATTTGCTGTTTAAGCCTAATGCCATTTAGAATATGATAGGTCATTCCCCATAAGTGTTTCAGCAGACTTAAATTGAATATTTAAAAACATTGTGCATGTTCATGTAAATCAGGACCACCAATTTCACAATTTATAATTATGGTTTTGTCTATATTTAATGTGTGCAGCTCTCTCTGCCCCTTCCAGGAATCATGCACAACGCCAATCCCTAGACAGTGTATAAATATTCCACATTAAAAGACCAGGTGTTCTGTCACAACAGTTTAACACTGTTTAGATTTCAGGGAAGGTAATGTCACTTTTGTAAGTGGCTCAGACATGAACCCTGTTACATACAGTATACTAATGTATATGTAAAACTATTCTGCCATAGTTTGAAGAGCAGCGAAATGAGAATCATCACTGTAGGATAAAAATCCCAATATACTTCTCTATTATAATCAAGCCTACCATGGACCAATGTACAGTATATGCCAAATTCTTTAATTAGGTTTCTTTTTTAAATATTTGATAATTTAGAGTTAGGGTAAGGGTTAGATTAACAATAAAAAAAATATTATAAAATCTCCTTCAACATATTAGCAATTCAACTGTTTTAGTGGCCACTGAATCATTTCTTTTTCCAAAAACACTTCCTAGGCATGCACAAACATTAAACTGCCTAAAGTGGTATTCTCCTTAATCTGTCCCCTATTATCCCCTTAAATAGGACAGAATTATCTTTATCCTTAATTTCCAATAAAGTTCAAACCTTATTGTAGGAGGATTTGAAATATTGTATCTTAACCCCATTAAAGAGCTATCCTGTCTTGTTTATCCAATTTCAAAAAGGAGGAAAAACATCTCCTGTTTCAGTTTTGTCAAGATTTAATTTAATTTTATTGGATTGTATAGACAATTTATGTTTAAATATACCACTATAAAGTCTTACACAATCATTTTTCTTTATGTCTGTACTTAATTTACCTTTATAGTTAATTAAATCTTTACTTTCTCTCGTAAAAGAAAAGTGCTGATGTGTAAAACAATACCTTGAGCAACATATAGAACAGCAAAGATGTACTTTATGGAATGTAAAGGCTTCATGTAAGGGGTTGTGTATATCCTCATCCTTCGTGTCTGAGCTAAAATCTTGACACAACAGAAAAAAACAAAGAAAATCCCTTCCCCTCTCTAAAATGAACAAGGCACTATATGACATTTGACAGAATTACACTACATCCTTTTTATTATGGCAAACTAAATTAATATTGAAACTCTTTTTATTTATACAATCCCTTCAAATTTCCTTCTAATTTTTTATTTAATTATCACAACAAAATATGACTAACATGTACTGTAAATGTACTAACACTAAAACTACTGCATGCTAAGTCTTTTGCAGAGACAGTCAGTGATGACAGTGATGAATAAAGTTGCACCACTGGAATTTTCTTTCAATGTTCACCATTTCACCAGTCAAGGTACAGCCTTACCACTTTGATGACGCCTAATTAGGGCATTACAGCTGTCTGTGGTTGCGGTCATTCAATACATACTATATGTGATACAGAAAATACTTTTTAGATGGTTCCATTTCTGATACTGTGAAAAGGCCATGGCTATCTTATTAGCAGATTTTCCACAATTCATCATGATTTGTATCAGATGACAGAAAAATAAATACATATCTCAGATGTCAAGCTCTTGTTAATTTGCATTGCAATTGCGCTGTTGGAGACTAAATTGAAATATTTCAGACTGACATGAAACATAAAGCTAATCTTACAGCCCAATAGATAATATGCTTTTAAACATCAATCACATTCATAAGTATATGCACTTATATAAGTATATGCACTTCAGCTAAAGTGCTCTTTGAGCTAACACATAAGAATCTAGACTCGGCAAATCAATTCTTGTTATCAGGTTTAATATTTTTAACTGATTACTTTAAACAACGTGTCCTGATTCCTGCTAATTATGTTTTACAATTGAGAGTACTTAAAATGTTTTTAATGTACCTGGTCACACAGTGTAATCACAAAGCCTATTTTTTCCACAAACTGGTATATTTACATATAACTGGTAATATACATACTGTATATATATTTGTCACAGTATAAGAAATTCTGTACTACATTTTTCTGTAAACCTTACATTTTTCAATAAGTATAATTCTTTAATAGGACTTCATGCAACCTCAGCACCCA